CCCCCCCAAAATATGTACCAGTTCCGACTTACATACAAATTCAACTTAAGAACAAACCTACAGTCCCTATCTTGTACGTAACCTGGGGACTGCCTGTACATACTTAAAATGCAAGTTATATTCTTAAATTGTAACCCCAACTGAAAGTTGCAGCTTGATAGGGATATATTCCAACCTATCACATCCTAATTTTATTCTGAGTCTCATTTAGTTTTAAGGTTTTTTCATGATATTTTTACTTCTGCCTTAGTCTCATGAAATTTTGTTCTTAATCATAATGGCTGCCATTTCCCTTTCTCCTCACTGAACATGAAGCCACAGGCTGGTCTCAGCAACCTGAATAATCCATGTCACTAAATTTTGCAGATGAAAATGAGGTTTCACCCAGAAAAAATGTCTGTGGTCTCTTATTGATTATAGCAGGGCTGAAGCCAGGTTGGGCAGAAGGAAGATGGTGGACCCAATAGGCAATATGTGAATGCCAAGCATGGGGAAAAAATATAGTTGAGGGGTGAGAAATTAAACTGAATGGGCAGTAGGAAGGAGGAATGTGTAGAAACAGCACAGACAACTTGGAATGTAGGGAGCGGGAGAATGCTGCAGAAAATGCTTCCTTCTCTCCTGCACAAGGCTGCTTCTTCAGAATGTTGAGTTTCTGGCCTTCTCCCTCTCCTTCTCTAAAATGATCAGAGAGAGACTATTTTTTTATAATTTCCAGTTCCTTTTGTGAAGTGAGTCAGCCTTAGCAGGGAAGGATAGCTCAGTGGCTTGAGCATTGGCCTGCTAAATCTAGTGTTGTGAGTTCAATTCCTGAGGGGGCCATCTGGGGCAAATCTGTCAGGGATGGTACTTGGTCTTGCCATGAGGGCAGCGGACTCGACTCAATGACCTCTCAAGGTTCCTTCCAGCTCTATGAGATAGGCATATCTCCTGATATATTTTATCAAGGGATCACAATTTCCCTCTAAAGTGAACCACTGGCCAGTTATTATTTCTGTACTTGAAAAACTTGTTTGCACAGGATTGTAGCCAATGTTCCCTGTAAACTGTGTGCTTGTGCGGTAGTTCAGGAGAAATTCAAATGCTACCCACAGCTAAGTTTTGTGTTTTTATTGATGCACATTATTTTATACATGCTTTGGTGAATGTAAAAATTTATTCTTCATGCGGATGGGAAAAAATCCACACATGAATGGAAAAGATCAAAGGGAACATTGGTTGTAGCCATCTTTGTTCAACTGTACAACATTTGAAATGATGATCATTAGTGTTTATTGACTCATAGTTGGCCCTGTCAGGGCCATAACAAGAGCAGGATGCTCACTCCAGGCACATCATAATCAGGGGTGCAAAGACGCAAAAAGTACAAATAATAAGCTGCAAAAGTAAAGAGCACCATGGGTGCTAACCTAAGGAGAGGGGGGTGTATAATTAATATTTAGCCCCAGGTGTAAAAATACCTAGTTACAGCTCTGTGCGAGGCACAAGAATTTCTCCTGTGTGTTTTCTCTCACTATGGTGACAAGAGAGAATGTAAACAAGCCCAGATTCAAAATGGAGTTTCCAGTCTGACACTGAGAGTCCCTAATAGCAAACAGAATTCATGAGCTATACATTGATTCTCCAAATTGTTACACAAGGTGAAAAACAGTGGCTTTTCGAATCTTGATTTGAGGCCTTTTATATGCTTAGGGTTGGTGATACTGAACTTCAGTGGAGTCTCAGCCACGTGTGGAGGATCAGGACCATAGCTCTTTATCTGGAACCCACAAGAGAAGACAAAGTTCAGGAGGGAAGCTTTCCCTATGCTCATGTGCCATCTACTTCACAGAAAGGTTCTATGACTCTCTTGGGATAAACTTCTGGTAGAGATAGCTGTCCAGCAGAGGTAGAGCCAGCTATGCTAACTTTCTGCTTTCCTCACAGAAGCCTCTGGCATAGAGAATGTGCTGAGGCCTGGCCAAGGTATTCTTCCGCCCTAACTATTCCCCTGCTTCTACAAGAGCAATAGGGACCATAGCAGCTGACACGTTAATTAGGTCAAACATTATGACTGTCCAAACCAATACTGGAGGCTGAACCAACCCCCAATTATGCCAGGCTGAATTCAGGCTGCCACCTGCTCTGTCCATATGCTAAACTCTATTGGTACAGGAATTAATCTAACTTTGCGCTTTGATAAATTGCCTGTGGTAACAGATTTATTTTTACTAATCCGTGTAGTGCTGTTCACTGCCTATACAGGTAGGATAGAGCAGAGAACTCTCTCTATCCTAACCCAGTTTGTGTGCTCCTCTTTATCACCTTGTTTGCTATAACTGTTTATAATTTTCACTTCAGTCATTTCCAGTCTTTTAAAATGAGGTAATTCTCTTCATCTCTTTAATCTTTATTGGCATTTCAAAGAACCTACTATCTGCCTGCAAGAACAAGATGTGAAAAATCTATCATTCCTTCTTTCAGACATGGGTGTCCTAGAAAAGACTTCAGTTAGAGGGGAATTATTTTACCCATCAAGAAAATTGAAAGCTCGGGGAAAAACATTTATTAAAGGAAGTTGCTTGATGTTGGAAAGAACAAGAGGCTTTGTTGCCATTGTACCGTTCATCCCAAGATGTTGTTATCTGAGCTACAGTTCATACACAACAATAGGAATTCATGATGGATAAAAGAAATTCAGAAGATATTCAGGTGGATAACAGCTAGCTATTGTGCGAAGATTAGAGAGTTATTATGGTACAATATTTGAGAGCCTAGGGTGGAAGCCATATCTATTTCCTTTTTAAGAATTAGCTGTATGAACATTAGATCATCAGGAAGTTGGCAATGCTTGATAGAGACTTCATTTTCAAGGTTCACAATTCACACTTTAGTCTACTGCCAGCAATAGCATTGGAAGTGTTGTCTTGCAGACCAAAGATTACATGCTTGCCTTGTATGTTTACTGACATTGACAGATTAAACCAAAAATGGAGGGTGTAACTTCATTTGCCAAGAAATATTTCTCCAGTATCAGTGTAGTGCCAAGTCTTCAAATGGAATATAATTTCATTAATCAAGATATGTCCATTTTAATGTGTAGAAAAGAAGATAATTCCCTAGAAACAAAGTTATTTCTAACCAGAAGCACTTGTGCAACTCCAGCAAACCACACAAAACAAAGGGCTTGAAAGTGTGTCATGTTCAGTATACTTTGCAATAGATATCGACTAATATATAAAATAAAAGTACATATCCCATTGGCCAGGCTTAGATTTCCCCTAGAATTTTTTGTAATATTTTATATTGATATCAGAGTTTTAATAATTCATGACCCTTCATGTCACTTCCCTCCACCTTTCTAGTTGAGACAGGCTGCTCTGAGT